AGAAACAGTAATGATGAAAAGGTAAATTATACACCGTGAAAAGATGAAAAAACTTACTGACGTTTCGGACGCTAGTCCTTCGTCGGAGTAAAAGAGGATCCATTATCTGTTTCTTTTACTTAGTTCTCCTTAATTTTCATTTCTCGTTTAGGATTTTTTAATTCCTGTTTTATCGGGACAAGATATCAAAACAATCAATATGCTTTGAATATTGACAAAAGAAAGAATAATTCCAATATGTTAAAAATTACAGATATGGTTTAAATGAAAATGAAAATGAAATCTTAATGCTGTTAATGCTGAGACGTCTGTACTGGCTGAATGTTGTCACCAATGCAAGTTATTCACCTGCCTCTAAAGGAAAGTCCCTTTTTTATCGGACATGTAATTCTATTGTGCCAAATTTAGTGCATTTCCGCTAGCATTTTATTTCTGTCGTTCGCAGTAAACCGCAGTGTTTCTGGCTGCATTTACGACTGTGGTTTATAGACTTTTACGACTGAATGTTTTCTTTTTCTTTTCCTAGTTCTGCGGACTCAGTAGATGCGAGATGCACGCTAAAATTGGATTTTTCGCTGTCGTCAATCAAAATTGCTGAGTCGGTACCTCAGTTTATATTCTCGACTGGGGGCAGTGGAAAACTAATTTTACAGCAAGCCATTGAAACTGATGTCGGAGATCGCGGAATATCGATAACCGCAGTAAAATGACCAGATAGAGTCACTTTACATCGGCGGTCCATTCTGACTCAGTAAATATTTCCTCATTCAGCTCAATAGTGGCTGCGCATAGCCAGTTGATCATGAAATTCCAGTTTGAACTTAATAATGTTATATTTCATTGTGGTTGGAATTTTTCAGAGGTACGGTCGACCATGCTAGGCTCTGAATTTTATTCTAGTCCATTCTAGTCTAGTCTACTATGGCCCGGCCTTAGTGTATTTCACTGTTATTCACACACATCTCTATCGTAATCTACTGGGGAAATCCCCATACTATAGCAAGTCAGGTTGATTTGGCTCCATATCTAGAAGTAGTTTAGATTAATATAACCCAATCTAATATTAGTGTTTCAGTAGGACTTCTCAGTGTTTCAGTAGGACTTCTCAACCCTAAGGAACACTGTTTTCTTGGCATAAGATGCTATCTAGCTCCAGTTCAAACAGGAGTGTCAGTGCTTGGTGTATAGTCAGTTTGGTAGATGCATGACGTGCGGTTATAATCATCCCGTTTGAACAACGTCGACCTCGCAGCTATCTTGAAATCTTCTTTAAGGAAAGTGTAAAGCAGAGGATTAACGAGTGCAGATATAAACCTTAGGAACATCAAGAAGACTTCGACTTGCACTGGATAAGTGAATTGATCGCTGCCTATGTCCTCTCTTATCCCATCCATAAAGTACGAGAACCAGCAGCAAATGAAGGTAAGAATCATACAGCCAAAGATAGTCACAGCCTTTCTTTCTACCTTTCTTTTGCGCAAGCTAGTGGATCTTTCCACAGGGCTGTTCAGTCTTTGGATGATTTTCAACTGATGTCTCAATGCTACAAAAATGCGCAAGTAGCTGTAAGCAATGATGGCTAAAGGGACTAGAACGATCCCTACCACACAGGATAACCCATAGATGACATCTTCGCGGTTCGCATCACTATCATCACTGGAACTTTGCCAAGCCCTTTGAATGATGGTGACTGTAGCGGATGTGGTCCAGGTTGCGATCAGCACAGCAATGACCCGGTTTATTGTGACTATCGAATTATACTTTAACGCATGTACTATCTGGATATAACGTTCAAGTGTTACTATCAGAAGATGAAGGGCTGTTGATATGGAGATGAAACGAGAGAGCATATCAGAGCCAACACAAATCCCTCTGTAGTCCAGTGTTAAAGAGCATGTTATAACTAACGGTATTGACACCAATCCTGTCATCATATCCGACATGGCCAACGAAGCCAGGCAGATGTTCGTAGCGCTTCTCAAATTTGGAGTTTTCGATACCAGATATATCACAAAGGAGTTGATACCAGCTATAAGAAGAGCAAGAAAGCCAAGGCACACAAATATAACTATTGATTCTGCATCCATTGCTCTATACATCCACCGTGCTCAACTTTTTGACCCTACTTTGGACGTTTAAATAAATTCATCCGACATATCAGTGTTCTTATCAGGTTGGAGGCGATCCACGAGCCTGCGGGCACAGCCAGTAATTCTAGTCAAAAGATTAAAGCTCTCGTTTGGATGGCGTTGCTATAGCAACTATCAAGATTGCGTCGACGTTAATGAGAGTATTTGTTCAACCATTCCCTTTTATAACAGCTGTAAATTGAATGCGATGCCAACCTAAAAGTATAAAGAAAGATTGATGTTTAAATACGTTTCATTGATTATATTCTTAAAACGATCAAAAACAAACACTGTCGCTTTATTTGCTGTTCGGAACATTTTGGTCTGAATGAAGAGAAATAAAATAAAAAAACTATGGGAAACTGTCAGTCGACAATACGAATCGTGTTTTGCATGTTTGTGAATGAATATGGCACTGAGTGATAACATGCCAGCAAGTGCAAAGCCAAAAGAAATAAGACAATGGATAGAATATTCAAGAGTGGCGACAAATATGAAGTGATCAACAAATTCAAAGCACTGAACGTCAAAGAAGAAGAAAAGAGCTGGAGGAGCGAGTGGACGTTTAATGTAAAAAAAAAAAAAAAAAAAATGCAGTCCATTTTGAATGTCATTTAAAGTCCCATCTTAATGTTTTCGCTATTTCTCTGTCTTTCTTTCTCTCGTCAGTTTTTCCGTTAATCCGTCATTTTGTTTGTTCTTTCTTTTATTTTTCTTCTTATCTATGGACATACTTTATTTGTCTTTTACTCTTTTTTGTGTGTGTTTCAAGGACTTTCCTTTTGTAAGGAACCAACTGAATAACAATAAAAACAAAACGCTAAACTTCAAGACCAACAATAGAAAGCAAATAAATGAAGAAAAACGAATATTGTGATTTTAAGATTATATTACGTTCAAGTATCTTAAGGGTATTCACAGTTTGGCGCCAGAAATGAAATTAGCCGGTCGAGAAGATCGATCTTTATTTAGAGAACGTTCGATATGAAATAGATTTTTTATGTAAGGTGTAAATGGATGTAGAATGAACGGTGCGGGGCTGAATATGTACATAGATGAGAGAAATTTAACAGTTAAGCAAATATATAGACAGCAGAGAATATAGAAGTTCCTTCCTTTGACGGCAAATACTGACTCCTTGAGACATAATAATAATATATTTTAACATTATAGAAAACGGCCGTGAGTTTTTCGTAACCGTTAAAACCAGAAGTAGATTCCGCGATATCGATATCTCCAAAATGACTCCGTAACTAGTTGACATTTATGAGTTTTCATTTTGTAGTTCTTGCCGCTGGCTATTGACTTTATACCGGCGATGCACTGCCAGGACTGATCTTATCGTTTCTGCTTCAGCTAGCAGTATATCAACTAGAAATAATGCTGAATACCAAATTAACTAGATTTGTGAGGGCCAACGCATTGATAAATCTGTAGTCCTGTAATTTTACTCAGAAATCCAATTTGGTTTAGTCAAGGATCGGGTGTTTACCTACGTAGAGCGGGAACAAAATAAACTTTCAAGGACTCAGTTGCATTGAGACGATCACTAGACTGAAACACCTGCCTCGTGCCAAACGAATAATATTCATTGTCGTTACCTTTTGCCATCAAAGCTCTATCGGACAACCAAGCTCTACGAATGAATTTATACTAGAAGATAAAGAACTGAATCTAAAACTTGAAAACATCTAATGAATAAGGCCAATGTATCTGAACTGACCTACGATGCAATGACCATTCGGATCACAGTAAATTATTCTAATGCAGTGAATTTTGTATTAACGGCGCAATAATGAAGTCTTAATGTTTTATTCGACAAAGTTATTTACGGAAGCATTGCCGGCTTGACTTCCAAGAGACGCACAGACCGCTTGTCTTATGATGAAGATGTAAAATAGCTATTTAAGCCACCATGCTATTTCATCATTAATCATGTTTACCTATTCAACAAAATTGATGATCTTTTTTATGAATCTTGTTATTAAAAAGTGTATTAAAAATTGGTGCCGGAATATAAGCACTCGTATTAACATAAAGGCTTAGCTACGCATAATGTTTGTATATTTTATCTATTTATATATTTTTTTTTTTGTACTAGATTATAGATTTTTTATTATACGTTATAGATTCATTACTGATATATTGATAATAACATTAATATTGATGTAAGAAATAAAAAAATATCAATAATAATATTGATATTAATATTAATATTTCTATTGTTGTCATTATCATTATTATTGTATTAGTATTATACGATATATATTATAAAGTTTCTGATGCTCGCCTTGACGTTCATGCACGTGGCTTTTGGGAAACTCAGAGATCTGCCTTCTTTGATGTTAGGGTGTGTCACCCAAATGCAGAGACTTACAAAGTCCTCACCCCCCAGCAAATATACCACCTGCATGAGAATGAGAAGAAGCGCATGTATGCTAGCAGAGTCTTGGAAGTTGAACAAGCGACTTTTACACCATTAGTATTCACTACAACTGGAGGTATGGCAGATGAGTGTAGAAGATACCACAGTAGGCTCACCGAACTAATTGCCAACAAGAAAGGAGAAGATTATGCTACCACTGTATCCTGGATACGAGCAAAGGTTTCTTTCTCCCTTTTGAGATCAGCTCTTCTATGCTTTAGGGGCTCAAGAACAACAAGAAGAGTACTTAATAACATAAAGAGCATAAACTTGGATGTCGAGACAGCAAATGCATGCAGCAATCAATATAAGCTAAATATTTAAATCCCCCATATATATAAATGTTTGCCATTGTTGTTGTTGTTGTTGTTGTTGTTGTTTTGTTTTTGTTTTTTTTTAAACATATATTATTAGGATTAATTTTTACTAAATAGATTTTATGGTTATACATTAGTAGATATATCTTTATTATAATATATTTTATTATAGTTTTTCTTTTTCTCTTTTTATTTTGTTTTATTCATTTATTTGTTGCAGATATAGAGAATACTTCATGGAAACTTTCCATGCTGTATTCTGTTCATTATACACACTGAGAAATTTGATAATATTCCATTCTTAGTCTTCTCCATCTTTTCGTCTAACCGAACGAATAAACTCTGCTAGATATCTATCTAGCTCTTGTGGCTCTATTTCGTCAACTTCTCTTTCCTCATTTTGTGATGTTAGATAGCTTTTCAGTAGCCTCACATCTCGCTCGGTTTTTCCCTCAGTATTCTTGTTTTGTAGACGTTCCGCATAATCCTCTACAGTGTCATTGGGAGTAACAAATCTATCTTCTTCCATTCTTTATGCCTTTGCTTACTTTTTACAATAAAAAAGGACCTATTTTAGTAAAATAAGAACAACAACAGCACTGACAAGATTTACTGCTTCGCACAATGACAAAGCTACCAAGTCTATGAGCGCAGGGATGGAAACCATTCAACGGTCCAATCAGATTGACGAAAAAAGTCGTTCGTCTCTCTGATTGGCTGAAGCCAGTAAATGAACGAAAAATTACTGAATAGATTTTCAGTGAGTATTTCTCATTATCATATGACCCGTACGGCCCTGCTCGCACGCTCTAATAAAACCATTGGAAAACGTCACGTGATGGGGGCCGGACGGGTTGACGTAAGCGGGCCGGAAAAACCCGTCCGGCCCTGCTCGAATCCGCGCGCTTTCTTTTTCTTAATTATTTTTATTTTCGTGAGGGTCATATGATAAAATGCTTATTGACTGAGTTAGGTCGGGCCGTACGGAAAATATTTGGCTGTCGGTCATTTGTACGGACCTCGCTGCGCTCGGTCCGTACGACATGACCTCGAGCCAAATATTTTCCCGTACGGCCCGACCTAACTCAGTCAATAAGTACATAATACTATGAGTACATGTATATGAACATAGGATTCCAAATAACTTCYATGTTATAGTCCAAAGGGATTATAATCTGGCACCTGGTCTTGAAAATATGTTCAATTGCAAATTATTCTAGATGATTTGATTTGAGGATTATTTTAAAAGTCGAAGACCGTGTTGAATACGAATGAACTCGAATAATTGACATAATAAGAACACACAGGTTAGAAGGAGCTTTCTTATTGACAACATCATACATAATATTAGGTAATGGAGTGGAATCTGGGTTTCCACAAACAATGGCATGGCTGTTGGATTAAGGCCCAGTAGAGGGACATTGCTTTGCAAAAGTTGCAAATTATTATTATTATTATTATTATTATTATTATTATTATTATTATTAATTTCACAAATAATAAAGTGAAATCCGAATGTTCAATGTAAGAACGTAGAGCATAACTACATGAAAATTTGAACTTTCTCCGCTAGCAAATTTGCTACAATAGACCCTTTTCGAGTTCCAAATAATTACCGCTGTGTCTCTTAATTACAGCCGACTCATTTACTCAGGCTTAGCCTTGCATCAGTGTCTAATTACTCGCAAATACAAGAGTTAATAGACCAAGGTAAAGTAAAGAATGCACAACTTCAACAACACGAGCACTTTGAAACTTGACGGACCTTGAATGGAACACGTGAATATTCTTCACAAAATCGAGGCTTGAAGCTTGAGTAAATGAGTCTGTAATCAAGAAACACAGCGGTAATTTGGAACTCGAAAAGGGTCTATTTAGGGGTAAAATTTGTGAGCCTGGGTCCGGCTTTCAAAAATTAGAGGCAAATACCCCCAATATTTTGCCATTCAACCATTTCCAGTCAGAAGATATGATACTAGAGTGGATGATAAACACTTAAATTTATAAAAACCTTGGTTTCATAGACAATTTCTTTAGAGGTGCGGAAGATCTAAAACCCGTTAAATCAAGTCAGATTTACTCTTGACAAAACGAATTCTTGGATTGCACGTTACGTCATCGCGGCCATGTTGGTGCCATTTAACAATAGACTTCTCATTAGCATCCATTGTTAACGGCACCACAATGGCCGCCATGTTTTTGTCTTTTGCCTCTCTTGGAAATGCTTGCAACCCATTAATTGTGTAAAATGGGAGATTAAAAGTTTATATAGTCCTTACTTTTTAGTATCCCTTACTTTATATAATAGGCATCAAGTTATTTTTCATTGTTGTATAAAACCATCTATTGACTCGCCTATACGCCGAGAATTTGTTTGTTGTTGCAGACAACCAGCTAAGAAGACGTGCTGTTCTTGAGGAAAAAATTCCACCTAGAATAAACCTTTCCAGAAATGTATTGATTCTATGCTTGAACTCATCAAGCTAGTAATTATACGAAGTTTGAAATAAGCCGAATTTACAAAGCCAACAGATTGTTATTGAAGTCCACATTAAAGCAAGCTGAAGAGCTTAAAAGGGTTGGAAAAAAACTGGCTATCGTAAATACTTTAATTCAAGTTTGATTAAGCTAAGTTGAGCTATTCAAGATTTGTTAATTAAAGTTGAATTAATTTAAGAATTTAAGGTATTAAACTACGAAAAAAATGACGATTTGCTCGAAAAAAATTTTTTTGTTGTTGCAATTTTGTAACTTTAAACTTTTGTCTTTCATATGTTAGTGAAACTTCTTGCAATTTTTGATTGAAAAGGCCAAAATTTTGATACAAATCGAAATCGTGACTTTATCAAGTCCGGAAATGTCCCGTCGCTTGTAATAACGTTGAGTCCAAATGCTCCTTTTTTCAACTTCAAAAAGCTAAAAGTCCCTTGGATTTCATTCGGTTTTTTTAAATTTGCAGAGTTTAAAAAGTAACTCATGATCCAAAAAGAGATTGTCTCCGATTTTCGAAATTTAATTTCTTTCCAAAGTTATGACGCTTTTTACTCTAAACAACACTCCAAAAGCAATCGCCGAACTTTGATCAAAAATCGCGAAAGATATAAAACAGGACACCCTTTTTGAGCTTATTATCTCTTGAGTATGTTAAGACATTTTTCGCAAACATAGCTTAAAATATACGTGTCCGTTAACGTTTTCTCTGAGGCATGGTCAAATTTCGCTTCGAGGACAATAATGTGAACAACAATTTTTAAAAATCGTATTTTGAAGATGTCTTCATAAACTATGCATATGTTTACTCAGCTTTCAGAAAAGGTATAATTTGTTGGTTTTGTGGGTTATACTATAAAGTTTGCGCGCATAGTGGTCGTGCGTATCCTAATACCTTAAGTTTTAAAGAGTTTATATATTTATACATATTTAAGTAGTTTAGTTGAAATTTAAACGCTTTTCATATTTTATCATTGTGTTTTGATAATAACGCGTTTGAAACGTGGGAGAAGGTGGCAGAAACAAGGACTCACCGTTGTTGGTGTTACATATTTTGTTGTCAGAAGTGGGATCCCTTGTTCTTCAGTCGTCTCTTACAGTGAATTTTGATGAAAAGTGATGGTGTCACAATAATCATACTTTTGAAATCAAATATTTTCCAATTCAAAATTTGGTATTATTTTGTATTTGGTATTGTTGTCAGAAGTGGGATCCCTTGTTCTTCAGTTGTCTCTTACAGTGAATTTTGATGAAAAGTGATGGTGTCACAATAATCAATCTTTTGAAATCAAATATTTTCCAATTCAAAATTTGATATTATGCCACAGCCTAGAGAGAATGAAGTAAAAAAAGTAGGCTAGAATAAACGACTTTCTTACCCGGTAGACCTAGCAGTCACAAACTAACTTACGTTTGCTCTTTTTTACTAGCAAAAGCAATGAAATACCCACCTCTAGGAAGGTTTATCCTATATACAATATCTTCTTTGTTCTGCTCTGTT